AAAAAACGACGACAAAAAACAAGTAAGGTACGAAACAGAACATTTACAGTAAGGCATCATCTTAATATCAACTGCTATGACAGGGCAATACAATGAGTACTTTTCCAAGGTTCAAATTAAATAATCAGAAATGCTACCTATACACGTATTGACAGTCTAGAGGAAAGAAAAAGGAAAGAAAATGCACATAATTATATTTCATTCAAGAAATTAAGACAAGACAAGTAGACTTCTGTAGCCTTCTCCCCCTCTAGAAATGTCATAAATCTCCCCTTTAAAGTTGATAAAAAAGAGTCTTTTGATAACAAATTGAGGATTTTGTTCAAAGATATTTTTTAAGGGTGATCATGTCATAAAATATGATGACTGACAGTTAAAGCTTTATTTAAAAACCTCAATAGAAGCTTTGAATGTTAAAAAAACGTCATTTGGTATAATGAATGTAGCTAACATGACAAGACCCATTGGTTTGTGGACTCTCGTTTGGAAACCTCAAGTTTAGAGACGGCCATTGCTATCGTGGTTATGTTTTTTTTGGAGCCACTCTGCCACTGTGGAGGAGCAAGGGGTGGATGTGACTGGAAAGCTGTAACTCTAAGCCTATGAAATATCAACAAGTGAATTACAAAAGAATCTGCCCCCTAACAGTTGTCATGAAAGAGGAACTTAGCTACAGAGGCCAAAATCGTTTTATGTACGAGGCTGTAAACATGTTTATTTGTATTATAAAGTTGGGCATTTTAACACGGACGTCTGTTGGGATTGACTAGCTTCGGTAGCCAGCCTCAAGCGGCCGTTCAAAGAACTGAAGTTTTTGGCACTTCCGTATTGGCTTCATTTTTCAGCCCGGGAGGACGTAGCTTGGCACAGGCCTAGTTCATTCGTTATAAAGGGGACTTTTCTGGGGTTGAAAATAATGATCTAATCCTGTACAACTTTGCCATCTAAAGCAGATTTTCTTTAAATAATCTGTAAATGCAGCAACAAACAAAGAGGTGACAGTATCAACCTTTATATGTAGAAAAGTAGGTATCTGACAAACGTTCATGAAGGCCCTTAAAGAGAGACTAATCAAGCCATTTTTAAGATGTTTTTTCCTTTCCCACATTTCAGAATATCAAGAATGATTTATCATCTTGGAGTTTTATAACAGTCAGCAGTTCTTTCAATTTTAGTCATTTGGCTGTTGATAGAAAAAGGTTGTTGTCTATTCACCTGCTCCAAGCCTACCACAACCTTTTGTATCTTTCTAAGCTAAAGACTTTTGCAGGATTTTTCACACCCATAATTTGGGGTATGTAGTTTCAGTTATGAGATGCGAAGAATCCATCTGGATAAATGTCATGACTCACCTTTTTAGCATTTCTAAAGCAGTTTGTGTTCTGTGGGTTATTTTGTGTGTGTGTGTGTGTGTGTGTGTGTGTGTGTGTGTGTGTGTGTGTGTGTGTGTGTGTGTTCACAGATGGCAGTTATTGTTAATAAAACACAACCCATGAGTTCTGAGCTTTAGAGCTTAAGAAGTTTTCTCTCCCTGAGAACACCATCAGCATTTATCACTCACTTGTGTGTGTGTTTGTGTGCCTCGTGAGTCTGTCAGATGTTTTTTGGATTGATGCTCCAGAGACGCAGCCTGTCTCAACTCTCTCTAGCCCAACAGCTCCCCCACTAGGGGCAGTCCGATTCTATTAGTGGATAATCAATAGTAGACACTCATCCTGATATAGCCCCCTCAATCCCCATGGCACTTGACTACATTTTTTTTTTTATCAAGCAAAAAGTGCAGTCGGTGCAGGAAAAATGGCCTGCGTCATTCTGTTGTCAGTGAATGTTTTGACTCACCTGTCTACACACAGTTGTGCCTGCGCCGTGTGTCAGTACACACCGTCAGTGTTTGTGATGTTGTTTGAGCATAACACGTTTTTTTTCATGCTTCTGTTCATGGCAGAATTTCCAATTAAACGGTAAATCATTTGACATGCTTTCAGGGCTCTCTACTGTTGGTACTTGTGTCTGCTGGATGCTCCAAAACAATTTTCACATGAAGGATGCTCATTGTTTGGCTGATTTATGTTGTGCTATGGGTTTATTTTCTGTGCTCCCTCCATGAGTTTGATAGGCTATGATTAAGGTTGATTAGCAATTCTGACGACATCACACTAGCTACCAAGCTTTTTTTAAGAGCCACTTTGCACTTAAAAGTAATCTAAACTATTTATTTATCACATGTTTTCCAATGGCATGATAGTGTCTCTATCCAGTGTGCTTCACTCACCAGCTCAAAATGCATTGTTTAACAACTGCTCCGATCAATTTGGGTATGTGAAAGTTGACTTGGCTCGGAAATGTCCTGATAAACAAAACAAAATGTCCACTTCGCTGGCGCTGAAAGGCACCTGGAGCGATACTATCTACTAGTGCATACCGTACATTCTGTAGCATAGGTGGACTCGGTGTAATTTAAATTCCAAACTAAGGCAGCGTTTGTGCATTACACATGCAGCGGACAAGGGGACCACTACAGCCTTTTATGTGAAATCAAATTAGCTGCTGTAACTGGGAACTGTAAGCCTTACAGCTGCATTGTATCTACTTATAACCCCATGTGAAGCAGCTAAGCTGATAGCCATCCCTCCACAATAAGGGTGCTTTCTTCTTAAATGGGCAGCATGCATTAAAGACAACATGTGACATTACGCCAGGAACTCAATTTGAACACATAGTTTTGCAATTACATGGTATATTAGGCAGCAAAGTTCCCAGGACTGATGTTTTAATCTGTTACCTGGTCTGATCTATCTGTGTAGCTGTGTGAGCTAGCAGAGCTGGGGAACTAATATAGTCCAGCACACAGATATAGTGGGTGGCAGCAGAGTTGAGCACAGCTTTATAGATTGCTTCCTGCTAATGTCACAATCTATTTTCCTGTCCCTGCTGCCTGGTATGGTTTTCTGTGTATGTGTGTGTGTGTTTGTGTTTGTGTGTGTTTAACTTCGCCTGGGCGGCTCCACACTCTGCTCTAGCCAGCTGAGTCTTTTCTTTAGCCATGTGTACATTACAGACCTGATAAGATTCTGAAAACATGCATACAAACACAAGAACGATCACTTTGCAGTGCCATGTAGATTTCAGATGTAATGAAGAGTTACACTTGTTAAAAGCTCACATCTCTCACTGTAACTATGAAGCATTAACAAATCTTATGTACTGATGCATCTGTGATATCCTTTGTCTGGAATGTGTGTCTTGGGAATGACATTCTTCTAGTGTCTCAGGGTGCATATGTATCTGTCTGTATCTCGCCATGCTGTGCACAACACCTCTGAGCCTACATGTGGTCTCTGAATTATGCAGAAGCCCCAATGTCTGCTGTGAGGGAAAACAGAAGTGAGAGAGCAAATGGTGGTGTGTGTGTGTGTGTGTGTGGGGAGTGTGATTGGGACTTGGGGAACACTCTGTGGTTGGGGGGTTATTTAGGAATAGCATCAGGAATCCTGGAAGATGAGTGCAGAGAAGATGAGAAGAGGAGGAGGGAGAGAAAAAGATAAAACAGTAATATGTGGGGAAGATAGGAGTGTCGCCTAAAGGGAGGGAAGCTGCAGTGCTCAAGCATTAAAATTAGCTTGAAGCTATCTGTCTCTTTCCTCCTTTCAGACCTGTGGTTCAGGTAAACTTCAATCCACGTGCTGCTCTTGTGCAGCAAAGAGCACTCGGGGATAACCCTGCCCAACTTGGGCGGGCCCAGCCCTCCATTGCTCAGCTTGCCTCAGTAGAAAAGGTTCTCTGCAGAACTGAATTATTCATGGGACTTTAGAAGAGTGCAGTGAAAATCCCCACCCCCCACACACTTGCACACAAAACCTAATATGCCACATTAACACACACTCATGCACCATGCTTTATCATCATATCACTTCACACCTCAACACATTGCATCACAGCCCATCTTGCTTCATTGTTAGTTTTTTAGGTTATCCAGGTAGATTTCTTATTTGTTCTGCAGCGTCATCTCACAGGGAGTTCACTGTGGTTGAATAATTAAATAGATTAGATCTCGCTAGGTTGTGTTCATCGCATTCCACCGTCCGTGTCGCCTGCTTTTGCGAGGGGTGGGGTCGTGCTTCCAGTCCATGCTCAGTGCTGAGTGTGCGTGCGTGTTTGTTACGTAAGTCGTCGCTGTGGCGGTTTAAAAAAAGAGAAATCGCAGTAGAACCCTTTGGCACTACCCAAAGTAAGGTGCCCTCGGAGTGGGGTCAGCCTAACAGAGAGCTGGAGAGGGAAGGGATTGAGAGGGAGCGGAGATGTGTTTCTGTGTGTGCGGGGGATGTTTGGTTATGGAGAAGGGAGTGGTTAGTGTTAGGGGTGCAGAGACAGATTGCAGATATGGGGGAGGGGGTAAAGGCGCAAAAGGTAGTGGATGAGAGAGTGAGCAAGCAAGTGAAGGAGATGGAGAAAGATGGAAGGGATCGATGACATGTAACCTTTAGCTGCAGTGTCTAGTGGGTGTGACTATGTTAATGTGTGGGTCTGTTCTCCCCCTACAGTTTCCATTTTAATGGCTTTTTCCACAACCTCTGTGTCTCTGGATAAATTAGAGCTAACAAGTGAGAGGTCACATCTGACTGGTATCGAACTTAAAAACTACTTTAAATATCACACACATGCTTGATATTTAGGCAGATCTTTTCACTGCCTAAGAATACTACTGATGTGGATTTTTCCTGAACACACAAACTGCCGACTGTTAGCAGCCTTTATATACATATGGCCCAATTAGAGATGTATGTGTACACGGCTCAGACTGACACTAACCTCCCTCTCACTCACTCCGTCCTTCCAACTTGCTCAAACATACTGGATGCATGAATTTGAAATGTGCCTCCAAGGTGACGGCCTCTTCCATCTGGTTGTTCCTCTGAAGCAAATACATTGTAATAAGTATCTTATCATTAGTGCTTCATAGTTATTGTTTCTTTCTGCTGCATCTGTCATCTCTCCTCTAGGATCGCAAACTGTCAAAGGTGGAACGTCAGCGCTTTAAGGAGGAGGCGGAGATGCTGAAGGGTCTTCAACATCCCAACATTGTCCGGTTCTACGACTTTTGGGAGTCGCCCCTTAAAGGAAAGAAGTGCATTGTTTTAGTAACGGAGCTCATGACATCAGGAACGCTAAAAACGTGAGTACTGTTGAATGCAGACACTGTGCTAATCCTCATTGAGTGGAAAGCATACGTCAAACTGATTTGGGGACAGGTTAACCTTTTCACAACCAAGTGTGTCGAAATGATAGCATGTTGATAGCCCCTTTAACACTACCTATTGAAGGTGGAAATGTCAAGCCATTATCCTAGCCTCGCCATTTTGTATAAAGCATACAATTGCAGAATGGAGGAACAGAATTGTCTGTCCTGTAAGCTGACAGTGGAGGCAGTAACAGCACTGGATCAATGTCTGTGTAAAAGGGAGAGTTGACAGGACAGGTGTGACATTCCAAGCACGTAGCAGTTAGCAGCTAACTCAAAGAAGAACAGCAGCAACTGCAATTTGGTGAGACAAGGAGGTTTGGGAGCTCCTTACTCTCTGAGCAGGAGACCAGATCAACCCCCATATAACTGGGATGCTACATGATTGTTATGCCATTGTTACTGTTAAGAGAGCACTGCCCGATGTATATATTATGTTACACTAAGGGCTTTTTCTGTTGTGTTACATGCCATGCCTATCACACGCCTTTTGATTCCAGAACACTGGCATGCTATCTAAAATCACACCCTGGGGTAGCATTATGCCTGTGTTGTTTTGTTCTGTGTAAAAAAGCAAAGCTGGCTTAATGAAGCATCTTCATTGCAGCCCTATCACAGGATCTCTGTGTCACAAGGGTGTATGTTTTTTTGAAACAGAATACATTTTTAACTCAAATTTGTTTTTCCCTCTCTTTCCTACAGATACCTAAAGCGTTTCAAAGTAATGAAGCCAAAGGTGCTGCGGAGCTGGTGCAGACAGATCCTGAAAGGCCTTCACTTTCTCCACACCAGGACACCTCCCATCATCCACAGGGACCTCAAATGTGATAACATCTTTATCACTGGACCTACAGGCTCAGTCAAAATAGGGGATTTAGGACTGGCAACGCTCAAGGCAGCTTCCTTTGCTAAGAGCGTCATAGGTAGGAGACTTTGAAATGTAACTTGGCAGATTAATAGCGCTTACAGACAGTAAAGAAGAAAGTGACTCATCTATTGGGCTCTCTTCTCTCTTCAGGCACCCCAGAGTTCATGGCTCCAGAGATGTATGAGGAGCACTATGATGAGGCTGTGGATGTCTACGCCTTTGGCATGTGTATGCTAGAGATGGCCACCTCAGAATACCCCTACTCCGAGTGTCAGAATGCTGCTCAGATATACCGCAAAGTCACAAGTGTAAGTCCAGATACTGCAAGTTTTTCCAGTTAGTTTCAGAAACTAGACATTTAAGAAAATATTTGACTTACCACAAATTTCACAAAGATAAGTTTAGTAGCCCAAAAGATAAACAAACTATAATAACCCTGTAAAAACAGCTGAGAGAATATAGTGATTATAAATTGTGCTATTCTTGTGCAGACAAAACAAGGCCTGCACTAACGCATACTGTATACAGTAACAAAATGGTCACAAATATTCTCCTCATTCTCCTCGCATACATACAGTGCAAATATGTAATTTTGTTTCTAGAATTGTCAGCAAAAAATCTTGTTAATGCCACAGTCTTCTAAAAGAGACAGAGCTTGTGGCATGCATTTTGTGATAACTCAGGGTTATGCTTGATGAACCTGCTAGACAGAGCGCAGTGATGCCAGGGATGTTCTTAGCTGCTTCACCACATTATAAGTCCAGAGAGCTTTTAATTGCAGAAATGCAGCATTTTTTTTAGAGTACACAATCTACTCTGCTCTGTTTCTTGGGTGAAGAATTTAATGAGCCATATGGAGTCACATGGGGAGGCCAAATCTCCTTTGTTTTTTAGATAAAGCCTAAAGGCTGTATTCCATTCCCTTCCAATGAGTGTGTCTGTGCAAGCAAGCCATACTGCAAACTGTTTTTAGAAGTCATAATAGTCTTTCTGATTTGATGAAGAGTATTGATTTTCCACGCTTGAGACTTGGTAGTGTGGGAATCTGAGAGATGGCTCTTTCACCTGCTGTTAAAGAAGAGATGGTCGGGCAGCATCAGTGCAGCTGTCTCTAGATACTGTTCACTGCATTGTTACTGTATGCATATTAGAGTGCTCTGCAGGGACCACTGCGGGATATTAATAGGAGATTGATCAAAGAGAAACCCTGATAGCTTTATACTACTCCCTGAGCACACGCAGCATGCAGCTGCATAATTGGTGGGGATGTTAATCCGGAGGTTGTATATATTTTATAACTGAGATGCAGAAAGTGAGGTCAAAGTGCTGAGCTAGAAAAAAGGTATTGTTATCAAAAATCTCACCATTTTAAAAACAGTCAAAATCTATTGGCTATGGGCGTCGGTGGCTTAGTGGATAGAGCAGGCGCCCCATATACAAGGCTGTTGCCGCAGCAGCCCGGGTTCGACTCCAGCCTGTGGCCCTTTGCTGCATTTGATTCCCTCTCTCTCCCCCTTTCACACTCAGCTTTCCTATCTATTAAAGGCAAAAATGCCCTTAATAGATAGGAAAGCTGAGTGCTAAAGGAAAATCTATTGGCTATGAAACACTCACAGTGGAAAAGAGTATGAAAATGTCTTTTCAAACCACGCCTGCTGTCTCTGTCTATCCGTACGCTCAGGATGTCCTGAACAGTCAAAATACCATAGTATTTGAGGCCAGCTGTGTTCTAATTGTAGTCCACAAACAAAACAACATCAGGAAGGAGCGCTCAGTAGCTCACTGGGTAGAGCATGTACAATTACAGCTAAGCCCTATCCCCTGCCTTTCCTGTCTCCTTCTCTCTATCGATACAGCAAACATAGCCAAAAAAAAAAACATCTTTAAATAAACACAACAACAACAACGGGAAGCCACCATCATGACCGTTGCCTCTCCTGACAAATGGAAGAGCAGGAAACTGGTGCTCTAATGTGTGCAACTCAGTGCGTGCACCCACCAACAAACTCACCAAAGTCCTGTCTGAAAATTGAGATGGAAGGTGTGCATTGCTGTAATTTGTTGAGCATAGTCAGTTCTCAGATAAAGAGAAGTTGGCTAGCTGCAGAAGTGGTTTTTGTGGATGCCTTTATATTTTTTGGAATCCATTGCAGCTGACATGGATTGAAAGAGACTACAGCTGCCATGCTCTGTCAATGTTGACAAGCCTACAGGGCGTGATTTTCTGATCCTTAAAAGATGCCAATCGGGGATGGAGTATCACGAAAACATCCCCGTGTTCTCTTTCCTTTGTTTTCCTTCGTCATTTTTCTTCATCACGCAGTATCCTTTTGTGGCGTGTCCTCAGTATTTTGTTTATATTTCCTTTTCCTCAGGGAGTGAAGCCAGCCAGCTACAACAAGGTCATGGATCCTGAAATCAAGGAGATTATTGGGGAGTGTATCTGCCAAAAGAAAGAGGAGCGGTGAGTGACTGTGCCCATCATTGTCCAGTGTCAGGCCAACAGGGCCCACAAGGTGCCCTCTCATCTTTCATGCCTTGTCTCACCTCCCCCGCTTCATTGCTGTGGCGTTGACAGTTGGGCTCTCAGCAGCACTGCAGTCTCCCACCATATCTGCAGGGTGTCTTTCAATTTCTGTTACATAATGAGTTTGTGTACAGAGGGGGAAATAACCCTTAATTAGCTTCCAGTGGCTTTTTTCTTATTGAGGCATGATTGGGTTCAGTGAGTGACTTCACTGAGTGGCTCTCTCTCTGCACCAAAGGTTATCCATGTCCATGTATGATGCTATTACTGTGCCAAGATGTCCTTACACTAACAACACAGTAGAAGTCTTGTACTACAGCGAGCCATATGGATGCCAACAGTATCTGCAAACACTGTGCATTATGCCCTTTTCCCACTGGGCAAAAAATCCACTAACATCTGGCTTTTGTATTTAATGGGGAAGGTTACAACCAGCAGTCACTCCTGGGACATATTACTCTGCAGTCATCACGGGTATTTATCAGCTCCAGCTCCAATCTGCTTCGATCGGCAGTGATGGAATTATGACACCCAGGTGAACAGGTTCATTTCAGCCCCTTTTCTGGAGCAATGCAATGACGGGTCGCCACTAAATATAGGCCGTCTTTGTCCAAGCAATGCTTTAAAATTTAGCCAGCTGGACAAAAAAACAACTAATACCTACTAACATTTGACTTTTGTCTTTAGTGGGAGAGGACACAATTGGCGTTCACTCCTGGAACAAATAAATCTACAGTAGTCATGGGGATTACTTTTCTCCAGCTCCGATAGGCACTGATGGAAACATGACACCTGTGTGGACACACTATTTTTTGCCTTTTGTGATATTGCCATCAGTAACTTTTACATCTCTTTATCATCTCAGTCACAAATTCCTTATTGAGACGGCATCAAATTTAAAAAAGAGACTGAATAGATAGCATGCCTCCATGCTGCTTTCTATAGTTACTAACCCTGTTTTTTTGGCGCGTTTGTTAGTCAAACCTGACGCACCTGGGGGAAAAAAAGAACTTGTCTGCTGGTAATGGGAAAGGAATCTGTTGCCTACTTTTTAGTGTTGTGTTGTTCGCAAACGAATCCTTCAAAAGAACAAATCTGTTGAGTGAACGTACTGAACTGAATCACTTCTGGAACTGATTCGTTCATTTCTCAGTTCAGTTGAGTTCAGCAGTGAGCATGCAGGACGGGAGTGGAACTGCTGATTCGGGCAGTGCGAACGATGAATCACTCGCGGGTCGCAAGGCAGCCAGATTGCAGGGAGAAACTGCCTACCCTGTGACGAATTATTCGGTGAATGAATCACTCAATGAACGAATCACTCGGTGAACGACATAACCCTGATCCCTGAGTGATTCAGATCATTTCTTCTCAGCGATACACTTTCATAGGGACAGTTTTCTCCAAGCTAACGGCTAATGTAGCCAGGAGTCAGGCCACATGAACACAATCACACACCTCCCCATTGTTTTAACAGACTTAGTTTCCAGATAAGCAAACTTAAAACATTAGGCTGGCCAGTAATGAGACTCACCAGTGCAGGGCAGACGCAGCTCAGCCGTGTATCAGTTCAGTGAGTCGGACTACGCAGTACACAGTCAAGGCTCCTCCAGCCAAGCACTGAACGATTCGGTAAACAACTCTTTTGAACAAGTCTTTTTAATGAACTGATTCTAGTGATTCAGTAACACCTAAAAAACTGCTTTGCCCATCACTACTGCTTATAGCGTGTTTTCCCCTGTTCAAAAAACCTGCATATGCATGCTTATTGTGGTTGGAGAAAAAAAAGTCTTGAGCTTTAGTGTTTCCTCTCCCAGGTACACCATCAAGGACCTGTTGAACCATGCTTTCTTTGCTGAGGACACAGGCGTAAGGGTGGAGCTAGCCGAAGAGGACGATGGGAAAAAGGACTCCATCGCCCTGAAACTGTGGGTGGAGGACCACAAGAAGTTAAAAGGGAAGTACAAGGAGAGTGGAGCCATCGAGTTCACATTTGACCTGGAAAAGGAGGTCCCTGAGGTCGTGGCACAGGAGATGGTGAGTGAATAACTGAAGGTAGTCAGAAAAACCTACAACCTTTAAGAAAAACAACCTTTAACTGACTGTCATTTAGAACTGGTTTGACCTTTTAAAGTCCTTTGCTTAATATTAGTTTCAGTAATATGTTTGTTTGAACCCATGCCAGTCATGCAGTCTTTGCATGTCCTTCTGTTGGCATGTTCTGGCTGTTGGCAGTACTGAGAGCTCATCACTGGGGAATGCACTCAGATGCAGATTGCCGGTGATAACTTACCCTGCTCTTCCAGGAATACAGTGATTGCGGTTTTGTTTTTTTCCTTCTGTTTACATGGATTTCTCCCGGGAGCACCACCAGATAAGGCACCCACAGGCCCTGCAATAAATCCTGGCCCAGCAAAACTGAAGATTTCTTCCAGTGTGGAAGCCATGATTATACCAACCCCGAGCCTTTGTATCACTCATCTAACATTCTGCAGAACCATGAAATTATTTATTGGGGTGTGGGATTAAGAGAGACTGAGTTAACACAGCTCGACTTCAGATGGAGAATATAAACAGTCATTGTCAGGCTTTGGTCTTTAACAGCCTTTTTCAGTTTTGGTGGGAAAAGATTTAACTGGTGCACGTTATCAGAAATACTAAAGACACCAAGTCTTCAGTTAGACACTTAAAAGGAGGATCATAATTTTTCAGGATTGGCTTTTTGGCAGGACTTTTCAAAATGGTTCCAAACAAACCTGCATTGAAACAGATTGTGTTGGTCTCATCTATTGCTTCAGGACTGAGCAGCATCTTTAATATGTCATTAGATATTTCACAAGAAAGTCTACAGTATGTGCTTGTACATAGTGAAAGTGGAAAATGTTGGCAGTGAGGTGTGCCAGCTGTATATTAATCACTCCCTCAGATTTTTTAAAAAAGAGAAATGTTTTACTTAATACTCAGCCAACTGATAATTACAGTGAGACTGTGAGTAAGAATTTGCTTTCCCAGCCCTCTTCTTTTTGTCCCTTTTGTGTTACCCAGTGTCTTCCTTTTTGTTGTTGCATTCTCTCCCTCCACACACCTTCCCCCTTTCTTGTTTTCTCTTCCTCCCCACCTGTTTATCTGTGCTCTTTTGGCCTTGACCAGGCTATAAAGCTGGGAGAAAAACATTTAAGGCCAATCGCCTTGGGCATGAGAGCAGACTCCGTTTTTCTCCAGTTGGGCAGCATGAGAGATGTCATTTGTCTCCATTCATGGGCTAGGATCTCTCCTTTTTTTGGATCCTTCATTCTGGCTTTTGTGCTAATGATGCCTAATTAGTCTTTGTTTACTATTATGTGGTGTCATTAACATTTTTATACCATACATATTGTACTTTATGCTGCACAGATGAATGAGCATGCTTCATCCAAATCATTTGTTTAAATACGCACAGCAGGAGAACAGCAATCACAACAAATTCAGGGGTTTAAAAAAATGTGTTTGAAGGATATATCCAGGATGTCAAAGTGACTCGTTAGAAGCTAAAGCCGAACTATACGCTACAGATCACAGTGTAAAAGTGAACCACCACATCACTGCTGATCGCCACAGAAGACAATGAATATAAAGGGAAACTTTGCTGATATTGAACCAGCTGTGTGGCATCACAGTGTGTGCAGATGAATGGTGTTTGGCTTCACCCCCGTGCCGCTGCCAGCACCTGGACCTCCACCGCCGGAAGGGCAGGGATCTCCGAGGGAAGTCAAACAACGTTCATCTGCACACACTGTGATGACACACAGCTGGTTCAATATGAGCAAAGTTTCCCTGCTTCCCTTCACTGGTTCCTGTACAGCAGGGTTGGTCTTTGTTTCACTGTTATAATCATTAAAAAGCAAAAGCAACATGTGTATACATTCAGTAGGCTATATCTTCAGTAGCTAACTAGCTAAACCTACACTTTTCAGGGTGTGATTTTGGTTTTGGAACAGGGAAGAAACGTATATCTTTTTCCAATCTCTCCAGGTAACAAGTATCATTAATACACGGTGTGCTCCAGGCACAACATTTAGCTCCAAATCCACAAAACCAGCCTGAAAATGAAGGAAATCTGAAACAATGGAGCACAGACGTGTTGCTGTAGGACCCTGGTCTGAGCCGGCCTGATGCTACGTTATGATTGGCCAGTCTATGTCTGGGAGCGGGACCTAGTGAAGGGACAGTTGTCGTAGTTTTTTGGGAGTTTCACCAATCATAGCACCAAACTTATTTCATTGTTACTGGTAATGAAGATACAGACAAGGACACAAACATCTCACACTTACCAACAAAAACCACTGCTGAAGACTGTGCAAAGAAGTTCCTTGAAGTTTGCTCAAAAGCAGGGGTAAACCATTTTGCACCACATGCAATGTTGTGTTGGAAAGCTGAAAGTCATCGGTTGACAAACACACTTACACTGGCTATAATGTGTGGAAAAAAGACCAGACAAATTACCATGACAGAGGCTTCAGTATCCACATCTATTGCATGTGCCTTTATAATCAAGCTGGGTTAGATCAAATATGCATGATTCATTGTAATGTTAGTGGAGAGTAAATAACAAATTCAGAACAGTGTGTTCTGTTCTCAAGAACAAGTTGCCTTCGACTTTCAATAAATTATCCAAAATAAAAATTCAACTCTTTTTGCAGTTTTCACTTGCTCCCTCAATTTTATTGACAAAAGGCTAAAAACATTGCAGCATACATCAGTTTTTTTTTTTTTGTTAAAGCTGCTGTGAAATTGGGCATTTTAGGCTACAACAATCCCACAAAAGCCTTTGAAATCCAGGAGGGACTGACTAGTTTTTTTTGCATGAACTATTATCTTGTCCAGTGTTTTCTTTTTTGTATGTATAGCATATATCTATTTATAAATCTCATCTATACATTGTCTCTTGATCGTCATTTGCTGATGTAACAGTCCAGACAGTTCTGTTGTGAACAATAAACCGATCTGCTGACAAAGGGAATAATTCCCCACCGCTCTGATCCCCTTGAAATAGATTTTCTATTCCTTCCTTTTCTTGCTCCTTCTCTCTCCCTCACAAAATGTGCTCTCTCTTCTCTCACATGCTGCATGCTAAAAATATCCTGGAAGTCATGCTCTTCCTTTTTCTTTGTCAGGTGGAGTCTGGCTTCTTCCACGAGAGCGATGCTAAGACTGTGGGAAAGTCAATAAGGGACCGCGTGGCACTGATCAAGTGGAGGAGAGAGAGAACAGTGTCTGCTGCAGTTCCAGTGGAACAAGGTGAAGGGGGGAACAGGGTCCAGATGACACCATCTCAGGGCGTCTCAGCTGGGGTTGCACATGTAGGACAGCCCTCACAGGAACCAGAAGAGACAGAGGCAGACCAGCACGGCAAGCTGCGTAACCTACCAGCCAGTGCCACCTCAGTGACATGTAAGAGAGTCTGTACTCCTCCACCCAGAAACACATGAGCTTAATCTTTGACTTTTTCTCTGAGTGTGTGATCTGTGTGTCTCTGCAGCAGACAGCACACTTGATAGTGGTATGGGCTCCACTGTGTACTCAGACTCCCACAGCAGCCAGCAGAGTGTCCTCTACCAGTCCCTGCTGGAGCCTATTACTATGGCAACACAGCAGGTCTGTATCAGGAGCACACACACCCAGGTGGACCATGTACATTCGGATTTATTAAAATACACACACTCTTTGAAAGCAGTCATTGCTCACGTGGAACTGAGCGCAGGCGCTGTGTCCACACACTTCAAACAATGTTCATCTGCACAGCCAACATGCATAAACATTTCTGGACATGTGCCGATTAGTTTCCATTAACACAGTCATGCACATTACATGCATATGTATTTCTCATACTCTCATGCGTCATTGCAAGCAAGTTTGTTCCGCCTCTTCTCATTTTATAGTTTTTTTTGTTTATGATCTGTTCATTTTGAGTAATGTGTTTTGCTTTTGGGTTGCTCCTTGATCAGTACCAGAGCAGTGGCCCGTTTCTGACAGATCGACCTCACTCCTGTGAAAAGGTTGAAGTACAGGGGGCAACACTGAGCCCAGACCTCAGGACTCGGTTGGGAGCTGCAACCCGGAGGGGAAGTGCCCCTGTTATTGACACTAGCAGGGCAAACCACATCGCTCAACTCCATGCTCTCATACAGTCACAGAGATCAATCAGTCCCACCCCCACAGTACCAGAGAACCTGTTGGAACTCGACCCCCCTGAGCCTCACCCAGAGACTACGGATGAATTCCCCTCCCAGAGTGCTCTGCCAGTACTGCAGGTCATCCCCGTCTAGCCCTCTGAGTACCGCCGCTTCAGTGACACAGTCATCAGACCGTCACCAGAGGCCAGCAGTGAGAACTTAACGCTGCCTGTGCCAAGTGGACGCAGACACTCTGACCTTAGTAGCCTTTTGAGTCTGACCTCCCATCATAACCCACATTTTGCAATGCATAGAGGCCACGTGTGCCAGGCCTGCCTCTCTTTGTTAAATCTAAGGTCACGGGAAGGGTGTTGCCACCGTTCTTCCGTTGGCATGCCAACATACCACTGTCCATGTGACTTGAGACAAAACCTGTCCCCTGGCGGAACAATGACCACCTCTGGTTATGGACGGCAGAAAGGTTTGAGTGATTGTTCCGATTTCTCGCTGCTGCAGCAGTCCCTGTTTAATATAATCAGCCGCAAAGCACCCCCTTGTCACACCACGCCCACCCAAGCCTCCCTGCTGCACTCCTCCGCTGCCCGCAGGCCTGCCTGCAGCGATGGAGATGGCAGCCTGAAGAGTCATCTCCTGAGTGGAAGTTTGGTTGGGGACCAAGAGCCCCTCCAGGACTGCGAGGACAGATTCTGTGCCAGAGAGCAGCAAGTTACCAGAGCTGTGGGAGTGGTAGGTCACACTAGCAGACAAGTCGCTTTGGTTTCCGATATGGGGCCAGCACCTGCTTAACTGATTTCTCCCAGCCTGCAGGAGGTTCAGCATTATTATGCATGGAGCTGGTTTTATCTCCTGTCTACTGTCTGAGTGTTGCTGCCTGCATAGACCTACAGAGCTGACCATCTTCTTAAAAATCATAAGCTTGATCCAATCGAAGAACAATGGCACAATCTCTTAACAGACTACGTCTCCCTGCTGATTAACCCTAACCAATCCCTTCCAGAACTGACCTAAATTTTAACATTTTTTCTTTTCTGCTTTACTGGCCCAATGCTACAGCTGTCTGCGCCTTAGCTTGCCTTGGATAGATGGACGCTGATTGTAGGAGATGGGGCAGCTGTCTGATCTCCCTCTTCTCGGTCTCCCCTGCCACTCTTCTCTTGTGTCCTTATTTTAGCACACACCTGTCATCGCTTGCTCATTGTTGAAACAGATGTTTCATTGACTTATTTTTGTCTGCCATCCTCTCATTATACTTGCATCCGGTAAAGTAATTGACACACTTATTAGCTTTTGTGGGATTATATCCTTGACCGGTAAAATTCACTCCCAAGAGGATCTTATGTGAATTTCTCTGCTTTGTTTCCTCAGGCCAGTTCAGCAGGTCACCAGAATCTACCATCTGTACAGGGCCTGCCTTCCTCCAGCACAGCAGTGCACACACCGCTGCAGTACCACCAGCCTGGACACAGTTACCCTGCTGCTCCATATGCTGGCCATCACGGTGCTGCAACACCAGCACCAGCTAGTTTATGCTCAGTCAACATCCAGCATACAGTCAGTGCTGGTAGCTACACACCTCCAAGTGTGCAACAGACCCCAACTGCAGCAAATATTTCAGCATCAGCTGTACCACAACATGTTGCACAGAGCTACCAAGCACCAGCAGCAAGCTCTTTGACTTTTCCTGTGAAAGTCCAACAGTCTTGTCAGAGCTTTGTTGCCCCAGCTCAACAACAGGCTCACTCTGCACCAGGATATCCTACTCCAATCCAGCAACAGACTGCTGCAGCAGCAGCCAGCCTGCCAGCTCAGCAGCCAGCACAAAGCTACCCTCTTGCATCTGTAGCCCCAACCATGGCAGCCACGGCCCTGTGTCATCCTGCACAAGCTCCTAGCGCACTGCAACACGTCCAAGCCGCAGTCAAACTGCCAAGTCAGCAGCCTGGTCAGAGCTCCTCCACACCAGCACTTTACAGCCAACAGATACCCATTCAGCAAGAGCACCAACTGAATACTCAATCCAATATACAACTAACGCAACATGCTGGGCAGGCTTATATGCAGCCTCAACTTCAGCCTAGCCAAGAAACTTTGCATACCATGCACCAACAAACGGCACAACAGGCCGCCCACCTTCCTCAAAGTCTTCAGCCTACTGGTCAGCAGCAAGTACACACCCCACCTTTACAGAAGCACAGCCAGACAGCAATTCCACAACAGAGCCAGGATGTGTCCCAGTCTACAGTCCAACAGGTTCAGGCCCCGGCCTCTCAACCTCATCCGACAGCAACCCCAGTTGTGCAGGTTGCAGCCACACAGCAGAGCTACCCTGCTGCAGGTCTACCTGATGCTGCCTCTCAAAGCTATGCACATCCTGCCCTCAACGCACTTCAGCAACAGACTGCTCCAACTCAGAGCCAGTACCTGTCTGCACAGTCTACTGCTGCTCCACAGACCTACGGAGGACAACAGGTGAGTGTACAGGGTTAATAATCACTATACAGCATATTGTAGACGGGTGGCATACATAGTGCCCCAGTTTTGAATTTTATGTTTGTTTTCCCTCCTCTGACCTCGCCCTGTTTTCATTTTTCATCAGTTTCAACCCTATCTTTGCATCGCTGCTTTCCTGAACCAGGTAGAACGCCTTTGTCTCAACACAATTTGTCATTGTGGGACTCACTGTGGGAGGGACAGAAAATTATGCACTTAAACAAGTAAACATCATTATTTATGGCAATGCTGTTATTACTTCTGTAACTACTCATATAATGGTGTCTGGTTTTGATTTGGTGCAGCGGAATTGGAAGCAGCTGTGTTGGTGGACAGTAGGTGAATGAAAAAAGAAAGAACAGCCCAATAAACAGGAGTTTCCTCGGACAACAGCCAGCAGAGAGTTGATGAAAACAGTAATGAAAACAATAACAGTGGGTTTTAGCTGCTGCATCCGCCAGTCCTCCCAGGCTTGTTCTGTGTCTGCTCAGTGGCACACAGCACAGTGTATGTGCAGCAGATTCAGAATAATTCCAGGCTTAGGGACAGGATGGAAAATGGGAGCTATTCTGATCTGGGTCAATAGCAGGAAATGCAGATGTCCAAACTGAGAGATGAGACTGAAATCTCTGCCATTCTTGAACTCCCTCCCTCTTTTTCTCTCCCTCCTCTTTTTGTTCCTCTGTAGAATATTCCTGCTGGTCCTAGCATTTCACAGCTCGGACAAGACGGACAGGGCCACGGGCAGAATCTCAGCCAGTCAGCTTCAAGTGTGCCAGCCCAGGCATTGCCTCCTCAACAGTCATTGGCTCAGGCTGCTGTCCACCAACAACTCCAGCCTCTGCAGATTTCAAACTCCCTACCACCAACACATTCATCCCAGGTATTATCTGTTCTCACAGCTCTCTCAAACATCTTACCTGGATAATACCTTTTCATTTCCCTTGATGCTGAGTTATTGTGTGTCTCAGCAGTTTTTTCTACCTCGGATAATACAGTCCAATAACAAAATAGACTTGATGCAGGTTGTTTTGATGCATCATCCTCCTGTGTTTGTACTTTGCTCTCTAGATTATTTGATTTTCCTCTGTTTCTTCCTTTTTTCCTCTTCCCTTCAGTTTCCTTCACAGTATCCCACAATCCAGGTGATGACAGCTGTGACTGACTGTGAATCCTCCTACCCTCACTCCTGCACTGCCCCTCACCCTTCAGCCCCCTCTTCTCTTAATCACATCTTCCTTTCTCCTGGTCAGACTCTCCCCGTGACCCCTTCTGTCTCCCCTGTTTCTCCTCTGCATATCGAAAACACGTTAGTTTCACCCGTCCCAGTGTCCCACATACCTTCACCCTCTCCCGTGCTGGGTAAAGCGGGACCCACGTCCCCACAGCACCAGCCCAGCATTAGATCTGAAGTTTCTCATTCACAACCTGCATTTATATCAGCACCAGCCACCCACCCCATACACACACACACTGCCCCGTGCCAGAGCACACACCCTCCCACAAATGGCAGCACTCAGCCTCTGATACAGGTAATTATGATGGCTGCAATGGAGTGCAGATGTTTACCGAGAGGGTGTGAGCTGGAACCTTTGTTCGTGATAATCTCTGTCAGAGTGTTTTTGCATCTTTGTTTGCATCCCCAAAAAAAGCTTTGTTTATTGAAGGTTGCTGTGTTGTTCTGTGGCAGAGTGATAATAAATGTTTATATATTAGATTTTATATATATATGTGTAGTAGTTAAATTGTGTATTCTGTGGATGATGTTCTTTTACGTCTTTGTTTTTCATATTGTATAGTATTGTACTGTAACTCTTCAGATTAATTAATAGATGCAGATGAAAAAATGACTTAAAGGGACAGTTCACTCCAAAATCAAAAAATACTTATGTTTCCTCTTACCTGTAGTGCTGTTTATCGATCTAGATTGTTTTGGTGTGGGTGGCAGAGTGTTGGAGATATTGGCCGTAGAGATGTCTGCCTTCTCTCGACTATAATAGAACTAGATGGTACTCGGCTTGTGGTGCTCAAAGTGCCAAAAAAATACATTTGTCTCTTGCCAAAAATCATGACCTAGTTACTCAAGATAATTTTAGCAACTGTAGTTCAGTAGAGAGAAAATAGTTCTGACATAAAACTGCTCACAACAAGGTCTGTGGATTATCTTGAGTAACCAGGTCATGATTTCTGGAAGGAGACATTGCTGATAAGTCTGTGAAATGTATTTTATTGGCGCTTTCAGCATCACAAGTCGAGTGTTATCTAGTCTGATTATGTTCGAGAGAAGGCAGACATCTCTACGGTCGATATCTCCAACACTTGGCAACTCACATCAAAACAATCTAGACTGATAAATTGTGCCACAGGTAAGAGGAAAAATATGTATTTCTGACTTGGAAGTGAACTGTCTCTTTAAGTCTTTGCTGATACATGTTGTAAGAATAACAGCCAAATGTTTAAATATCTCAAAATCTCTGCAAAGGATTCAGAGTCCAACATAACATAATGATGTATAGTAATAATGTGTTATCTTGTTTTGTCTTTTACAGCAGGTTCCCCAGCAGGTTCCTCAGCAGGCCCAGGTCAGCCTCCCTGAGCTTGCACCCTCTGCTCAACCAGTCCAGCCTGCTCCGCTCACCCAAGCTGCAGTCTTCTCCTCACCTTTGCTCAATGGGTCAGACCCGGGCGCAGCTACCACTGCTGCCCAGCTGGACAACAAGAACGTATGCCAGCTGGCCCCGCAGGCCCAGAGTCAGGTTCAGAGCCAGATTCCCGTGCTGCAGCCCTCTGACTCTCAGAGAGTGTCATCTGGGGCTGCCAGTTCCAGTCTGACTCAGCAGAAACAGCTCAGTAGTCTCACCGGAGCTGCAGGTCAGGGTCCAACAGAGACCAACACGGAGGTATGGACACATGACTCACTTCCACATTTTTAAGTTCTCACTTCGTATTTCTTCCTCTGCCCACCTTGCTTTGTACCAGTGCACTCTTACTTGGAATCACCACTTCCTCTCAAGCCACCAAATACCTGATAAATGTTCCTCTCTTTTATTCCTGGCTTGATTTATTTGTTATGTCTGCAGGATCAGGCTGCAGAGAAACACACTGGAGGACAGAGCTATGACAGGTACTAGCTTCTTTCGTGGCAGCCGTCTTTGCAAATGACAAGTCAGTGATTTTAAGAACTGTAAGAAATGCATATTAGATGAGAGTAGCCTCAGTCAGCTCTCAGGTGCTGTCAGAAGGACATTAATCCCTAAAGCGGCATTCTGAGTGATATGCAGTGACATGAATGTTTTACATAATGCATTTGGTCTTAAAAAGTTTTCTGTCCTCTCTTACTTTAGACTTAAATAATTAGAAGCCTAACTGTTTACAGTGATAGAGTAGGAATGCCAACACTCAGGACAGTGCCATTTTGAAAGGATGCCCAGCAGAACCTTGCATTGGTTGGCTACACTGCTCTTTCATCTCAAACAAAAAGCTCATAACACGATGAAAAGCATTGACTCTGTCTGTTGTATGTTTTTTTTTTGTTGTTTTTTTTTCTTAACATTCCCTGAGGCAGAGATGTTGCTTACCTTTAGAAAACATTGAGGGCGTTCGACCAGTACTCACAAATGATGGAACAGCTCCGAACTAGCTGGCTACTCTTTCTAAAATAAAAACGATTGTATAAGAAATACAATACTGTATTCCCTGTTGTGTATTGTGGACCCAGTTCACAACCATCTCTGCTAACTTTCTCAGGTGTTGACCAAAGCTTTCCAGCTAAACACAAACATAAAAGCAGAGGGCACTCTGATGATCACTCTCTTAGCATCTATTGATCTTTGGTATCATTGTGACCAACAGCAGCAGCTAAAACTGCTTTTAATTTCAGACAGTCCAGTTGTTCCTTTATAATGGATTGCAGATAGCTTATCCCCCACAAATCTATATCCGCCTTTAAGCTTATGCAGAGTTTAGCTTCACCCATGGTTGATTTATCAGACTTTTGCCAAATCCTGCAGGCATTCCAGAGCGGAGATAAACTTCACAAAACCCTTTCCCCTAAGCTTTATATCGATGTGGGGAGGTAAATACCATTAGCCTCTTTCCATTTCCACTATGAGACTTCTGTCTATTGCGCCCTAAACATTGTGTGACACATTTTTTTTATTTGTCACACACCTTATTTACTTTTTCCTCCTTTTGTTAATCCACCGTCTTTATTTGGGCAACAGTTTTGAACATGTTTGAACAGGTATATTTTAATCTTAAAACCATAATAGTCCACCGAAATGTAGAGCTGTGTGCATAGGATTTATAAATAAAGCGATGCATACTTACACTGGTGTATTTGTCTCTCCCCACCAAAACCAGTGTCAACTCTGATGCCACGTCAGGCAAGGAGATGAGTGATGGTTATGAGGGGACACATGGAGGTAAAGGCGAAGGGAAAGTCCGCAAACACCACCGCAGGTCCACACGCACTCGCTCTCGGCAAGAGAAGATTAACAGGCCAAAGCTCAACATGCTCAACGTGGGTAACCAAAGTATATTCTCACATGGAAAACATTTCTTTAAGCCAGTGTTCAAAAATATAATAGACAAGGTATTTATTGTGTCTGCTTATGTTGCAGGTGTGCAACACTGGCGATAAGATGGTAGAGTGTCAACTGGAAACTCACAACCACAAAATGGTCACTTTCAAGTTTGACCTGGATGGAGATGCACCGGAAGAGATCGCAACATACATGGTACGCAGGAGACAAAGTCACTGCCACTTCAGTTGATGCAGAGGTTTTTGTTGTGCGCTGTAAGCTGCCTGAGATGCTTTCTTATGGCTCAGAACTCTGAAAGTCCCTGTGTTGCTGCTCTGAGCTGCAATGCAGCAAAAATGTTTGTCTCTCTCTCTCCCTTTCTGTCCTCAAATCCTAACCATTCAATATTGGGCTCATATTTATAGATGGATAAATGAATATTTATGGCGTAACTGCTCTCCCAGCTTATCATGTATAATGTAGGCGTTCCAAGGCAAACGGCCACTTATGAAGCTTACCAATGAAGTATATTTAATTAACTTTTATGATGCTTTGAAGCTTAAATGCTTTATAAACTTAACAAATAATGCAAAAGTCGTCCTTGGATTTTCATAGGCTTTTAATTGAATGGAGAATGTGTCTGGAATTTCTATCATTTTCTCTACTCTTGACAGTGGCCCCCCCCCCCCAACCATGCTTATACATCTCTTGGTTCTGGCACCTTTTTATTTTAAGCGTTTCTCATTAGGCTACAACCTTTCATGTTTTCTTCATTGTGCCCTTCAGGTGGAGAACGATTTCATTCTGCCGTTAGAAAAAGAAGTATTCATTGAGCAGCTGAAGGACATCGTGGACAAAGCTGAGGACATGCTCAGTGAGGACACGGAGGGCGAAAGGAACTCTGACCAGGGAGGCAGCCCCAAACAGAGCGACGGAGCTGGCGCTCTGGGACCAGAGGTGAGAAGGGAACTGTTGACAGTAAATAGTTGCAATGGCACAATCTGTCTACGAGTGCCTGTGCCTCGGATACATCATCCTGACAGCACTCTCGAGATGACTTTGCGTGCAACGCTGCCAAAAATACCATTCTTGCTGATGTGACATTTTGATCTAACTGAATTTGTGTCTGAGGTTCAGCTCTTAAGCTGGTTGAGGAAACCTTTTTAAATGCCTATTAAATCAGTTCACATGCATCAGATCTGTGTAGTAAGCCTTTCTATTCTTTAGGGATTGAAGGCTTCCACGCCCAGCACACCACAGCTGGTGTACCAGCAAAATGGTAAGACTTGAGCCACCTGGAAATTATATATTCACTCAGACAAAATCCACTGACACTTCTAGTTAAACTCAGCTGCTTCCTTTAAGAGGCCTGTTATGATGTGACAATGGATTGAGGATGTTTTATGAATTACTTTAAAATCTCCAGTACTTTAATTGTCTTTAAAGTGGCCAGTCAATTCATTTAGCTTCTGCACTGAATTGATTTTATAGTAGATGAGGATTCACAAATACTTCTTTGTCTTCGTCCTTGACAGTCCTCCACACTGGAAAGCGCTGGTTTATCATCTGCCCTGTGGCTGAGACGCCTGAGAAAGACAAGACTACATCTCACACCTCTACAGCCCAGGGTATGCTGCACGCTCAGATATACAGATAGTCATTAATGCTTCCTTCACGCCTTGAGACTCACGACATACTAAACAGAATTCTTTAATATGAGCAGCAGGAGTGTATTCTCTTTAGAATAAATGGAAGTTTGTGTCTTGCTTGCTGCTGTGGACAGTGAAGACGCTGCGCATGCATCAGAGTGTGCGTCTGTGTGGTTCATCCGTTGGGGTCAGTTATATAAGAGTGCTTCTGCAGTGGTTCTAGACAAAAATGAAGGGCAGGATTTATACTCTAGCTGACAGAGCCTGATGGGGGAAGACGAGCAGTGATGTAACACTCTGGCACCCACAGGACCCTGCTTCCCTTCTTCGTGGCCTTGGCAGTTTAACTAGCAATCTGTTCCTCTCCTAATTAACTCTGATCTTTTCATTTCTCCAGAATCTGAAAAGGCTGCCTCATCATCAGTGAGGCCCAGCAGCAACACGACTGCAGGGGCTACCCCAGTTGTGTCGTTATCCTCCCAAAGCCCGTCCTCCTCCCCTCTGCCCCCTGCAGCTCAGACCACAGTGCAACCTCAAGACCAAAACACAGACATAACACGGATCCAGCAGCCTCAGCCCTGTGTTACTAAACATGCCCGTACTGCTGCTGGTGCCAGCCATCACAACGCCCTTCCCGTGGAAGAGCCTTGCATCTCTGCTGTCTCTATGGTAACGGACATTCCGTGCTGTGCTATTGTGCCACCTGTCTCTCTGGATGTGAATGCTATAGATAAAGGAGCAGTTAGTGGTTTGACCTCCTCCCAAACAAAAACCCAGACCAATCAGAAGGCCAGTCCTACTGGAGAGCTACCCCCTCAGCTGGCTTCCCATCAGTCTGTGGTCCTGCAGCAGCCCTACGCCACGCCCATGCAGCCAGGGACAGTCACCTCCCAGCCCCAGAGCCCAGCACATCAGACCCCGCAGAGCTCCCAGTCGTCAAGCCACCAGCAGCCGGTGAGTGGGGGGCCAGGAGAGTCGGACAGCGAGGGACCACGCAGGGTGGAGTTTGCAGACCGCACCATCAAGACTTTGGATGAGAAGCTGAGAAACTTGTTGTACCAGGAGCATGCTCCATCGCAGACCTCCAGCGCTGCTAGTGACCCCCAGGCCTCCGGTACAGAGGGGGTCAGCTCGCCTCCAGTCTCAGATGGCTTGACTACAGAGGGAGCACTTACGAAAAAGAAAGGAGAGCTGCTGGTAAAATGCACTGTCTGTCTATGTGTGTGTGAGTGAGAGACAGAGAGAGAAATCAGAGCATTCAGACATTGGTTAGGAACTAAGTTAATGGCAGCATCATTGAATCGTTTCCCCGCACTGTCTCATTGATATGACTATTGGCTGTAAAGAGCAAGACTAATACTGTATTTAGAGAGAGGGAGTAGGCTAACAAAATTACTGCTGTCAGCACCATAATTCATCATGATCTCTTTCTCTGGTAGCTTCATTTCGTGTGTGCGTTTGTTTCTTTGTGTGCATGCTACCAAAAACAAATCAGGGTCTGACTCATTCAGACAAAACGGAGGTCAGGAGAGGATAATGGCTAGCCTTACCGCACTGATCTAGCACATGAAGCGATTTACCACTTGCCACTATTCAAACGATTGCAAACTCTCACACACACACACACCCTTCTCTTTTTCTCTGTTAGCCTCAGATTCCTGAGCGCACAGATAGTGTGGGTGCACTAAGTGACTCTGCAGTGGCAGGTAGGTATCGTTATTTATGTAATGTCTGCATCACATTATTACTGCATTATAGTTTCAGTATCATTTGTTTTGAAAAACCTTCTCCCTGCTTCTTCAGCCACTAGCAGGGTTTTGAACAGAAGAGATGTGACCGCTGGCTCCAGCTCATACAGCTCCAAAAGCCGCTTTCAAGTAAGAATCCATTTTGAAAAGCCTTAAAGGGCAGATCTGCTCAATATAAATGTCATTTGACCAAATTAAATTATATTACAGGTCGTGACTTATGCCATTGTTTGTCCCAGGTCCAGTTTGTTGCTCAAACATTGCATTAGTTGATGATGTTTATGGACCCTAATTTTGTTACGAACATGGGCTTCTCTTCCTTCCAGATCATCCCCACTCCACCGGATGTCATATGTTGTTTAGAAAAAAGAAAGATGAGTTGCGGCACCGGCAGCTCCCCAGCGCCCTCTAGTGGCTCCGGAGGGTCTCACAGCCAGACGCAGGGCTCAAGCAGTAAAGAAAAGGACTGCATGGCTGTGGGCAGGTTCTCTGTGACAGCTGCAGCTGATCATGAGATTGCAGAAACATCGAAACCCCACAGCAGTAACCGTTACTCTGCCCCGCCAAACTTCTACCACGCCACCCCCACTACCAGCCCCGACGTCACCCCCAGCCACATCCCCCGTGCCCAGACCATCGACTCTCCGACCCATCACCACTACCACCACTCTTCTCACCTCTACTCTGACTCAGCAGATGAGGACAGCAGCAGCATAGCCCTTCCTCCGGCCCACCCCGCTCCCCCAGCTCATGCGCTGTCTGAGCACAGTGGGAGCGACCTCATGAAGAGGGCAGTGGCCTTCCTGCGGCGCTCTGGTAGGAGCAAAAGTGAGCAGAGCTCCGATTCACCCAGCCGACAGCCCGTCGCAATGAATGGTCACGCTCCCTCGCCTTCTGCAGGACATGCGCACTCATCCTACATCAGCAGTGACAATGACTCCGAGTTTGAGGATGCAGATATGAAGAAAGAACTGCAGAAGCTGAGAGAAAAGTAAAGCAACGTACAAACACACGCACTTGCCCACCTCCGCAAAATTATTTTTCATAGTCTGTTTGCATGTATAGGTATGCTGAGATGTAGGTATGTTTTATCCAGTCAATAGCCATCACATCTCACATTTATGAGGCATGAAACCAGCAAATTTTCTATTGAATGACTAATGGTTGCACCTCTACAGCAGAGTTATCAGAAGTCTGTGGATGATGTTATTTACAATTAATGGCATTTTGTAGACAACAGCATTGTATTACCTGACAATAGATGATGACAATAGATTTTGTCATGGCTTATGGATAATACCTGTGGCAAAGAAGGCCTATCCACTTCCAATATTACTGATTATTAAGTCGATAATCATGTTATTGTTATTAGAAATATGTGTGCTTTACCACTTCATTGGAAAACACTAATCTCATGAGAATTTGGTCACACTGTAAAAAATAAATTAGGTTGCAGTCATATAATAAACTCACAAGCATTCACTTATTGCGAGCTTGTGAACAGAACAAATCCATGATGTATATTTTAGGAAACATTTGTAGCTTCGTTTTCTCCGACTTGAAATTACTGGACCTTGACTTACGGCTGCAAGTAGCAGCTTTTATCTGTGCTGGTAGTAGAGAAATCCAGAAGTAATGGCATGAAAAAAGTGTTGGGGACTTGCTAAAACAGAAAATTATCAACAAGCAGATAGTACCATGCTAAAATTACGGGATTAATTTTGGCAATAGTAAAGGTGCAAAGAGGATTATTTGACTGTGATAAATTGATTCATCTAAATACAGTGGATGACTTACTGCTATTTTTGGCTGCCAGATGCAAATGTTTGACGTTACTGTGATCTTAATAACAGTAACTGTAAACTAAATGCACAAATAACTGATTTTTACATTTTTTGTAGAACATCACAATACTTTCTCCTCTTGAGCACAGAGCTCAGCAAAAGCACCAGTGTTGTTTTTTGTCATTGCCTTCTGTCAGTATTTACAGTGATATTAATGATCCTGTAAAAGCCCACAAAATGATTAGATGCCTCTAAGTTGAGGTTTGTCAGTCGAGTTCACACAACTTGTTTTCGAAAGACATGAAGAGGTTTTTGAATGACTCAGTACACACTTCAGGAGAGGATGTTCTTGACGCAGGTATTATGACTTCAAGCTCTAACGACAGAGGCTTTAGTGGACTACAGGGGGAGTAAATTACTGAGAGAATGCTTGAAAGAAAAAACGATGAAAAAAGGCAATGAAATTGACCAGCAGCCAGTTAATTTCTGTCTGTTCTCACCCTGTACCTTCTCACCAGACACATGAAGGAGATCTCTGAGCTGCAGGCGTTCCAGAGGAATGAGATTGAGCGGCTGTACACGGAGCTGGGCAAAACGCTACCCCCCAATGTCGGCCTGCTCCACGCCGCACCCCCAAGTGGCCGCAGGCGCAGGGCCAGCAAACACAAGCTAAAGGCTGGAAAACTGCTCAATCCAATGGTGCAGCAGCTCAAAAACAATCTTAACACCTCCACAGAGAGGAAAGGTGTGTGGGTTTGGATGGCGGGGTGATAAGTGGTTTATGTGTGTATGGGAGAGCATTTTCAGTCTGAAAGCACACAAGTGGAAAACACAGGAATGGCGTAAGGTTCAGAAAACCGTAGGAGTGTGTGATTCACCGCGTGATTCATTCTGACTCACACTTTTTCTTTTCCTTTTTTCACCAAGGTGAGAGTGCTGCCAGTTCATCCAGCTCCCCGGCAAAAAGTTCAGTTCTGTCAGATGGCTCTGCTCACTCCAGTGGCAGCTGTAGCTCCAGCAATAAGTCCAGCGCAGCCCCAGAGCAGGTCCACACGCAGCAGCCCTGTTCCTTGAAGGGCTCTTTCTCCTCAGACAACATCTACGCTGGGCTACATGGTGATGGAACAGCCAACCAAGCTGGCCCTGGCCAAGGTACCCATTACAGGTTCATGTGCATGCTGATGTGTGTGTGGATGGGACATGCTATTTACAAAACAGCCACTAGGGCTAAGGTAACTGTTTAACAGTGACAATGTTGTACCTACTGTCTATGGACAACATTTAGATGGATCAAGAGTCTCATCTTGAAGTACTACAGACTCATACACACCTCATACTGTGCGTAGGACCACTTAAAATATTAACAAATAAGCCATATGGCAAACATAACACTTATAAATGAGAGAAGGAGAATTGACACCGATGTGCTATCCATCAATATGCGCACTGTGTCCTCGTATAAATTATCTAAAACCAATAATAAACTGAAAGCAGAGGTTGGCACTGAATCGAATAATTTATGTGGTACACATTTTAAAGTTCACATACAGCCTGTTTATACCTGGTATTAACATGCATCGTGGGTGATCAGATCACAAGTGGACAGCACTAAATACAAGTAAAGACAGTCACTAAAATGCAGTGTGATCTGATTGTTCAAACCACTTGCCGAGGTGGTCTAGAATGCATTTGACCACATATCTTTTATAGTGTAACAGCTAATGCATCCTGGTCAGGTCCTCAGAATAGCAGCTCAGCCTTGCAGCCAATTTTTTGCAGTGGTCACTCACGGTATTGCAGCGAGAAAAATCCACTGCGGCCCAAAAAGCATTTCCCCCCTTGGCCACTATTATAAAAGAGACGTCTGTAAAACTGTAGACAGGACACATTGAACGGCAAACAAGGTCAATTATGACACTTTTTATGATTAATTTTTGATCCATGGAGGTTTTATAGTTGTAAAGCTTTCCTGGAGCCGAGAGGAGCGATTTAAAAATCTGTGACGTCATCACAATGTAAAGTCTCTGAGCTGTGTGGGAACTAGTGGGAGAAACACTACTGCGCATATTCAGTGGGCTGCATACTGTGGAAATAAACCTGGCAGCTAAAAACTTAACAGTATATCCTCAGACCCCTTTGGCAGTTTATACAGTAAACCGATATGGTGGCAGAATCAACCCAATGAATAAATGATGCATAACAAACGTTCAACTTTAGTTTACCTAAAAGCAAAAACTTTATTTGGCAAGTGTGCGAGGCGAGCAACACAATTTTGCCCCATGGAAGGAGATGTGTTGAATTCTGCTGACAGTGATATCTCCAGCTGTACCGACACAACTGCTAATGTGACTAGCAAGAATGCTAACAAGCAGCTAGTGAGAGTGTGGACATGATAACTGTGCACGGGGCCCTTTAACCTTATAGTGTAAGTGACGTAGGCAATAACGAAATCTGAAACTGGAAACGCATGATAGACACAAGCGTGACATCGATGTGTCTGAGCTGTCCACCTGTGTTCGGATCACCAAAATGTTAATACTGAGTATAAACAGGCTTATTTTAAACTCACCTTATAATTAAATTCACATCATAGTTTTTCCATGTAGCACTGAGAGAAGTAGAACAAAGAATAGTGAGTTAATATTAAATTCGTGCCAAGAACTGAATGTGAGAATGTCATGTACGCAGATACTAAAATAGAAAAACAGAAAATGATTAATAGTTAATCTGCTATAATTCACAGTACAGAGGAAAAGTTATTAAATAAATAGCACTTAATAAATATGACTCATTGTTTTTCAGCAGCCTTTATACAACCAAATTATTAACCAAGTCTCGTTTTAGTCTGCTGCAAGACGGATGCATTTTGCAGCTAAAAGGTTGGACACTGTACTGTCAGCTGTTATGATACCAAGAGCTGCGTCTCCATTCTAACAGTCAATAACACCTACTGACATCTGACGGATGATAAAACATGTGTCTCCATATAGTTTGCCAACAATATTTTGGGGTTGGCAACAAAAAAAGGAGAAGTTTTAGCGTGTTTAGCTCTGATGAACATAGATTAGGGTCTAAACTCTCTTTTGCTGGATCGCTGCTGTCAGTCTTTTCTGTGTAACAGGCTGATTTTTTACTTCCTAAATGTTGTGGTTCAAATGTATTTTGGATTTATTTACTTTAATCTTTTTTTTTTTTTTTTATTTGTTGTGATTATATGATTTTGATGCCATGTAAAATTTACTTTTTAATAGAATTTTTAAACTACATTTTATTCTTGAATTCTGGTGTGTTTTCCGGTTTCATGCTATGACAAAAGCACATTTGAAGACAAGTCCAAATTACTGCAAGCTGTAAACACTTATATGACCCCGTCACATAAGCAATAAGAAATTAATAGACAGACAATATGAGGGTCAGAACCCAAGCACACAACCACAGTACCCTCACCAGATACATAGTGGGATCCTGCTTACCGTGCACTCCTCTTTAGTGTCCTTTGCTGGTGTCTTTGATGGTAGGGGTTTCTCATCCCAGTCTCTGTACACTTTTACAAGTGTTTCTCTTGTTTCTTCTCTTCTTCCCTCTTATATTCATTTTTACAGGCTGGACGGTTTACCACCAAACTTCAGAGAGAGTCACCTATAAATCTAGTAGCAAACCACGCACTAGATTCCTCAGTGGACCTGTGTCTCTGTCCATCTGTTTGTATTTGTTCTTTTCTATTTCCCTTCACTCATTTCCATCTTCTCTTTATTTAACCTTCCTCTCTTCTATCAACCAATTTTTTTACATGTAATATATTGGATCTTCTATTCCACCCTCCTCACAGGCCTCCTCACCTTGCGTACATCACCCATTTAATATTCCTACCACTCACCCCTCCTCCCTCCATGACCTCAAAGCTTGTGTTCTGCAAGATATTGTTCTTCTGAACGCCAGAGGATATCCATCACATGCACACATGATGTTGGTAGTCAAAACTCATGTCTACAGAGCCAACTGAACGTAGCTAACCCAGGCATATGCCACTATAATCAAAGGCTTGTGCAGCCAGGAAATGTTTTCTTTTCATCTTCAAGCGATCAGTGTAAGAAGTCACATTTCTGTGCTTTATTTTACGACTTTGCTCGAAGTCCCTTCACCTGCTACTGCAGTTAGACATTGTAATTGGTGCAGACTGTTTGTTGACCCTTGTTTGTGGCATTTAGAGGTAGATAATGGTGCATTTAGTTCCCAGTTGTATTTGCCACTTCCTGGAAAGAGCTTCCCTCAAGCTATGACTTCCATTATTAAAATCTGTGCCCTCTTGGTGCGCCAAGTTCTGCATCAACTTTTGTTTAAGTGTGGGACTACTGGATTTGAAATGGCTGGACTCCTGATAGGACAGAAATAAATCTGTGACCCGTGACACCCTCATATAAATCAGGCTTTTAGTTTGACAGCAGTTTTTTAGAAGTTTTAGTGATAAAAAGATGGTATCAGCGTGATATATTCATCCTGCTCCTTTGTGATAACCATCTACAGGTAAATTATATCAGTTATGTGAATTTGATTGAAGCCACGGTGTAAAATTAGTAATGTTCTAACATTAGTGCCCCCCAGTGGTAGAATCGACACACAGCAATCTACTATAGACTAAAAATAATGGACGTAGCTACCATGACGTCACTCATTGGTTTGTGGACTCCCATTTTGAAGCCTTGAATTTGGAATTTAGGCCGTTGCTTTTTGGGCTAAGTCGCTCCAGGGCATGTCTACTTTGTAGCATCAGTTAGGATCATAGCTAGCCTAGCATTAGCGGTAAGCAGATGCCTGGAATGCCCGAAGGGGTACAGATAATTAGAGGCAGAGTAGGGGTGGGTCCTCCCACAAGACATACTGGATAGGCACGTTCCACCAGTCAGTTTAGTCTCTCCCCATCGTACTGACAGCCTCACCTTGCTCCTTAAGTTCACACAGATTTTGATATAAGTCCTCCAGGTGAGAAGCGCTGTCTCTGGTGGTCAGAAAAATTAACTCTGGGTTTATAAATCCAGATTGACCCCGAAGAGTCTGCACAGTGTTTCTTTGCATGAAGACTGAAAAGGAAACATTTCCAGGGTGTGCATGCCTCTTACATGTGCGGCCTACAATACCCAGGATGCAAGTAACTTGGATGTCATAGGTATTTATCTGTTCTCTGGCAATCATCCGCAAATCACAGAACCTCAGTTACATTCATAAACGTTCATTGTTGGGTTTATTGCCCTCTCCCCCCTCATACAGATGCTTTGTGCCGTGCTTCTGGCTTAAAAAAAAAACAGACCCCACAAGTGTGCTGGGGTTAGGTCTCTCCAAACATGGGCCTGAGGTCAGATCTAAAAAAAGTGTGTCTGTGTACATGTGTGAGAGAGAATGCCAAAGCCTTTATACCCTATTTATTTGTTGTGTGTTTCCATCCACTGTTAATTTTGATTGTATGACATCTTCCAAGTAAAGGCACTTTGCCCCAAGTCAGCACTCCTGTGTGTACTAACACAGAGAAACCCCCACCCCCACCCCAACCCACCCCCAAGCCCTTCCCTGATAGGCAGGGTCTTTTGCTGTGGTAGAGGAGAGCTCTCTCTGTCCCTCATGTTTGGACGGAGAAGACGTGCATGGTGCAGGCGCCAGGCAGGGCACTGATGGAAACTTGCTCCGCCATACGAAGGGCTGTATCATCAATATTACTTCTTTTTTTTCTTTTCTTTTCTTTTCTCCTTCCACCTCTCCTGAGTTACCTGCATGTTTCTGACAAGTGCTGACTGATGAGTTCCAGCTAGTATCTGTGTGCTCTTTCAGTTTGAAGTTTTATTTATTTCGGTTTCACATTTTGTTTCACAGGCATTTCTCACATCGACAAAGGGATCTCTTTTTAATCCAGGCTCCAGTCTTCCTTTCTTAGAAAACACTATTATCTGTATGGGCTCTTCCTACCTACTAATAGACCAGTTATTAAATCTTACAATTAAATTTAAATTATTTTATTTTATAAAGGCTGTTAAGATGATAGTGATTGCATTAGACCAGATTTCCATCTAACACAGCAGTTGATGGGACACTGTGTAAGATTTAGGGGGATTTAGTGGCATCTAGCTGGGACGATTGCAGATTGCAACCATCTGAAACTTAATTCCTTCAGTGTTCGTTGTTCGGACGTTGTTTTTTTTTTTTTTTTTTCACTGGGAGCTGAATGATTTGCAGAGGTTTCTTCCTCCAAAATAAACAAGCAAGGTGATTAAAGCAGTTACATGTTACAAATCAGCGTTTCCTCCACGCTTTTCGGCCTGTCTGAGATGAGCACCTTCTAATTAATGTGTTCACCTTTATTCTAATCCAGATGCCAAGGAGGTTTCAACCGGGAGCCAAATTATCTGCAGAGGTCTCTTCCTCTTCAAAACAAACACACCAGGTGATTTAAACCGGTAAAAACACTGAATAAAGCACTTTCACGTTACAAATCAGAGTTTCTTCGACACAGTTCGGATTATCAGAGGCGCACCGCTAGCCCAGCACTTCCTAATTTGTGCTCACCTTCTCAAACTCAGACGTTTTATAGGTTTTTACCAGGAGCTGTATTATCCGCAGAGGTAAAAACACAGAATAAACCCATTTAACATTCAAAATATCAGTGTTTTTCCAACGTTGCTCAATGTGGAGGGCCTGCTTACTACGGTGGCTGATGCAAAAAACACCAATGGCCCTATCTAGAGCAAGTGTTTTGTCCGTTTTGGGCTACTGTAGAAACATGGCCGACTCCGTGGATGAGGACCCACTCCCTGTGTAGATATAAACGGCTCATTCTGAGCACACGAAAACACAAATCTTATTTTTAGGTGATTTATACAATAAAGAAGCATACTTTTTATTAAATTCCATTTCTGCCAATATATCCCCCTAAATCTTAACACACTGGACCTTTAAAAAAAGAAAACAAAGTACGTTAATTTAAATGTCAGTATGATATATAATGGTCTTCATCCATCCAGGAGCTATTTAGCACGTAACACAAACCAAGGCTAGGTTTGCTCCCTCTGTCCTGAGCTCGTCAGGTACACTCACCAATAGTCAAGTGATTGCCCATTTTAAAGAGAACACCTAGGCTCTTTCTTCCAGTCCTCCTCACTGATTTTTAAACCCCTTGTCCTCCTTTTCCCTCCTTCTCTCTCCCCAATTGTTTTGATAGCTCAATGTGCTTTTGAAGCAGCTTGTCCACATACGTGTGGTGTGCAGTGTGTCCTGGCCTAACTGTTTCTGTCTTGTGCTGTTTTACCTTTTTATAGGGTCCACTCTGAAACGACTATGTCTAGGCAAAGAGCGCAGTAGTAGTAACTATCTCATTTACTTTCTTACTCTCTGTCTTTCTTCCTCTGTCCACACTATATTAGTCCTCCTTATGTTTGTATGTGCACTTTATTTTTTCTTTTTTTTGTTTCGGCACTGGTAATGTTGCAGTAATTGTTGAAAATGTGGGTACACTACAGATTGTTGCATACATTTACGTTTGTTGTTGTTTTGCATGGCGGTGTCAGTGTCTTGATTGCTGAATTTGTCATTGCTTGCATATCAAACATTTCATTTGTCTATAATTACTCATGAAAGTCATTCGTGTTGCAATCCTTTGGCTGCTATGTTGGCAAAATGTGTCACAGTAAATAGGTTGTATACACATTTACTCTGACCTCAACAAAACCACAAGGACAATTCTTAAAGTTGGCTTTCATGAAGGTGATATTATAGGTTCATCGTGTCAAACGTGCCTTAAATTACGCCATACAGCAGCCAATTGATTTGACTGTCAAATTATTTAACTGGCCAGATTTTTAAGACCTCTGTGTCTTTTCAGGGTCTTCTCTCAACACCGCCACAACTCAGACAGCTTCCGGTCAACCACAGCCGGCACTCACCACAGCCACGCCCTCACCATCTCCCCAGCCAATCACACGGCTCGCTCAGGTCCAGACCAACAACAGCAACAACAAGAGAGGCACGTTCACCGACGATCTTCACAAGCTGGTAGACGACTGGGCGAAGGAGACTGTCGCGGCAGCCAATCAGCCACGCCCCTCCCTCAACCAGATCAAACAGCAGAGACGCCAGCAGGACCTGGAAGGCAAAGCGCCACCCATGGGAGCAGCTGCACATGAGGTATTTGCAATGGAGATGTGCACGCAGGAATAAATGACAATGGATTAGTTGTACTTAAAGTCATGACAATGGTTCTCAAACAGCTCAGGAAATATTAGGTCTTCAAGTACCACCACTAAGCCACCACTAAGTTAAAATACAGTAGCCTAGGCCGAACCTTTTCAGCTACAGACACACAGGAGGCAGGTTTATTCACAGTCACAAAACTATTTTTAACTGTTGTCAGCCTCAGCAATGCTGTACAGAGGGGTAGCACTTAAGCTCTTCCACACTACTCTCATACACCAGAAAAGCCGCCCCCTCACCAGGTGCTGCAGAGAATTCTCTGGTGCTGCATAAGTAGACACTAGTGTTTGCGCTCGGTTGATTGTCGTCTGCTGCTTGAGATATTCTCCTCCTGATCTGCACTTCTTTTAATAGTTCCCGTTTGAAGCCACGATTAAAGTCTTTTCAAACCATCTATGTTACCTCCGCTTACTGCCAGCACAGTTTAGCTCATAAGTAGCATCAGAGAAAAAGGTTTTTTTTAACATGAAACTGTTGTAATCAGTGTTTTTACTAGTTCAAATCCCTGAGTCCATTTTGTTTTGGAAAGGAAGAGACATCTGCGAATAATTTGTCTCCCGATAAAAACCTCCTGAGCGTCTAGATCTTATTATTGTTATTAGAGAAAAAATGTGAGCACACATTAGTAGGAGCTGGGCTGAAACTGTCTGATCTGTATTTTTATTGGCTTAAGTCACCTGGCCCATTTGCTTTTGAGAGGAAGAGACCTCTGCGGATAATTCGGCTCACGGTAAAAACCTCCTGAACAATGAACACTGAGGGAACTGCAGGCAGTTGCTGGTTGCAATCTGCAGTCCTCACGACTAGATGCTGCTAAATCCCCCTAAATCTTTTGCACTGTGGAACACTGAACTAACCCTTTTTAAGTGGCAAAGTCACACAATAACACAAACAAAATAACTGCCCGAAGCAGTGTTAGACCAGCATCTCTGTGTTCAGCAATGTTAAATTACTACTTTTCTCAATGGAGTCTGGTTTTGAAGAAGGCGATATAATGGCTTCATTTTCCCGTTGGAAATCATCATCAGACGACAGCGAGTTAAAGCAGGGAAAATACTCTTAATATAGCGTACACTTAACTGATAATGATTTGTTTAGGTGGCTTAAATATGTTTTGTTGTTTCCCCCTCTCATAGAAGTAGATTACTTAGCTTTCACGTCAGACTGCAGCCTGCTTCTGCAAACTGGGCAACGGACATCTACTGTATGTAATACACTGACTATGGATGATATACCTCATACAACCCCACTTCAAAAAAGCTTAACTATCCCTCTCTATCTAGGACCACCAGTGATACACGTACCACAGTTTGCGAACCAGTGATATATGACATGTGAGGCTATCCATGCACAACTTGTACAACTGCTCCCCTCTGTTTCAGATGAAACGCCATGTCGCTCCCCACAAGTTCCAGCTGCCTCTCTCCTGCCCCCTGACTGCTGCTTTAGGCCCTGGTATGCCCCCAGTTCTAGCTCCCAACTCCTCAGCAGTGCTCTCTCCTGGGTACCTTTTGCCAGCGGGCTCCTACGGCGGGATGGTTCCTGGTCCTATTTACCCCCAGCAGTGGCCTGGCATGCCTAGTCCTGTAGGCTCCGTGGGTCCTGTAGGCGTGCTTGGTGCTGCGACAATGATGCCCTATGCCGCAATGGCAAACCCAGGGATCCAAGCCTACCCTCTGGTCATGCACGACCCAGAGAACAGCCCCTGTCCCAAAACCACTAGGACTACCTAACCTGCTAACTCATGTTTGTTAGTATGTGTTGGCACAGTAGTCCAACTCCACTCTGTTCTGGTTCACCAGAGCCTCACATGTACATAACCTGATGTTGTAAATAACATGACGCAAGTGTTGATATTCTTTATACAACACCTATATCTGTAGTTAATTTGTGTGTGTGTGCGTGTGTGTACGTATGTGTGTATACTATACAGTACGTGTTAAGTATGTACGTCTGAAAACTTAATGCTTTTTGGCTTTGGTTTTTACTAAACTCAGCCATACGAGACAATTTGTCCGCAGTCACGACAAACATATTTCACTTTATTCTTTATTACTGCTGTTGTGACATTGATTTTTTGCCTTTCTCTGTGTTACGTACACTTTAAACACTACATTGGAATCCAAATACCAGTGGTTTGAGATACAGTAACAGGACAGTATTTATGATGAAGACATTTGAAGGAATGTAGTGCCTTGAACATTGATTTATAGATTACTTTTTTTTTCTTCCTCTGTGAAACAAAGCATGTCTGTATCCAAGTTATTTTTATTTAATGGTAGCTTGAGTGCAGTCTCTTATTTTTTAATGCATTACAGACACTTTTGTTTTTGGTTTACATATGAATGCCCTTGTAGAACTGCACTATTAACACAGTATATGCTCTTATTTAAATAATAAAATCATGTTTTAACCCTTGTTTACTTTCCACCCCTGTGACAGATGGAATGCCATAGTGGTGAGACGTACCGTTGCCTTGCAGAAACAAATGGTTAATGTACAACTGATGAGAGAAGGAAAAAAAAAAAAATTTAACGCCAGCAGCCAAATCAACTCTTTCAGGTCAAATGGTTCAGGCGGACACAGCCTCTTTTTGATAGGACAACTGATGCGCTGGACAGCACAAGAGCTGGCATTGTTGTAGCCTTGTGCTCAGGAGAAAGGCAGTGTCCAGAGCCATGTATACTGTACATAGCTCTTTCTACAGTATATGCCTCTGGTAGTGTTCTGATTAGAATGTAGCAATTAATATGTGAAGGCTTTGAGGCTTAAAAGTGCAATTTAACCCCTCCACAAAGCTTTGATCGTGGCCTTGCCACAAGCCTTATCTCTGATGTGTGCGACAGGAGCAAGCTGAAAAAGTTGAACAAATTTACAAACCAACCAAGCAACCAACCAACAAGTTACCGGGCAAAGTTTAAAGCATCACAAACAGACAAGTCACTACTGCTACAAGTTCTTTCAACTCGGCTATCCTATTACTCAGCATACACTATGTGAAATGTTTTGTGCAATCACCAGTTAAGTCTGATGTTTTTTAAATTATTTGATGTTTATAGCTTGATTTTTTTTTTTTTGATGCTGCTATCGTCTGAGGTGATTCCACCGTACAGTTCAGCATTATAGTCACATAAGATGGTACTTAAAAAAGAAAACTCAAATTAACAGATGAGATGCTCACAAAGCAGTGTTATTGCCTTGTTGGTGTTGTGTTTATTTTCCAGGTTGCTTTGGATGACAGCCTTCGTTTTTTTTCTTTTCAGTAATATATTGCAAAAGTCAAATGATACTTGATGCGGGAGATTTGCACAACATATAGTCTCCCTTAATTCTAACCTATGTTTAAGAGTTTCCTACACTGTATATAGTGGGTTTCACCGCCTGTACTTTTTTATCACTGACAAGCATGGCCAACTTTTCATGTTCCACAAAGCAAAGACAAACAATACAGCTGCAATGGTTAAATATTTCACATCTCCACGACACATTTGAACGGTTTCAGCACCCCGATTCTGCCAAGCTGTGAATTGTACAGTTTTCTTGTAGTTTATATTTGTACTTTTTTTTTTTTTTTTTTTTGACTGTTTAGAGGTGGTGGCGGTGGAGGGGTTGCTTTGATGTATATTATTCCATCAATTCGGTTTGAATTGGACTTTTATAGGATATTATGCAGAGTCTTCTGCTTTGGTGAAATACTTCCAGTAGTAAGAGATTTCTGTTCTCTGTCACTCGTATCTGGTTTTGTTCCACCTCCCCGGCTGCCAACTCATGGCGAGCAGAGGAAGGAATAACTATTCTAGGCATATTCATTTGGATGCAGTGATCAGATGGAGGAGCTGAGATGCACAGAGGAGGAGGATGAGGAGGAGGAGTGTTGACAGCTCCTGCTCTGCTCATCTCACTTCTCTCTGGACAACATTGCCCCCTGGTGAATATGCTGTGATTGTCAAAGGCTTGTATTCAAACTGTGTGGGATTGCTTCTGCCTGCTGTATGTCCCACTGCATTACCCCACCCTACCCTGCTGCACTCTAATCACAGACTGTATGTTGAGAGAGAAATAAATATTATTTTGTGCTTGATGCTGTGTTGCATTGTATTTATTGCCTTTTTTCGAGGCTATAATCACATTATAATTATGATAAAATAGAGTTAAAATAAAATAAATAAAATAAAATGAAAGATAATAATAAAATTAATTTATCCATTAATTTAAAAAGTTAATTTTTAACGTATAGATGATGTTCAAGTGTTTGTATGTGTATTTGAAAGGGGCACGCGCACTCTGAGGCCAGACTCCACTCAACTCAGTCGGCAGACATCTTAGAAACAAAGCGGCAGATTCGTAACAGTCAACACGACACAACCCGTGTGAAAGCATTGGCTGTAAAATTAAAAATAAATCATTAAATAAACTCTCCAAACAGAATATCATTTATAAACCCATGGAAACTCGGTTTAAACGCGAATACGGGTTTTATTTTATCCCCCGAAGCAAAGAAATAGACCCCGCTTTGTGTGGCGAATGTGTCAACCCGCGTCTGCGGCGTAACGTTACAGCAACGGTTGCCCCTTTTGTTCAACCGAGTTCCTGAATTATTCCCAACACAATGAAATGATCGGGATATTGTACTGTTTTATAAACACATTTCACTGTACCTGCGCGTCCTGTGAGCCTCACCTGGGATTTTCTAATGAATTAAAAATCGATCTGCAGCCCGTCCGATCTGCTGTGAGGTTTCCGAAGCACGCAGTCTTGAGGAACGTGGAGTAGTAAGTGTTTATAACGTTAGTCCAGATCTGTAGCGTTTAACGGTTGGAGGCTGGTTTGGTGGGAAATAGAGTCACATTTTGGCAATTAAACTGTAAATAAGGGTGTAATTTTTGTGGTAATTTCAGTATCCAACCTTAACCCACCGTACCCTGAAAACACGAAGTAGTAGAGCCCTGATGCAGAAGCATGTCTGGCTATTTTCCTCGCATTGCTCAATATTTCACAGCTATCTCACCACAGATAATGATAGTTAATTGTTTTATCGACTGTAGCTATTTATTAAAGTCATAAACCAGACCCCACATGCTGCAGTGTGTGTGTGTGTGTGTGTGTGTGTGTGTGTGTGGCACCCTCATGAAATCAGATGTACTGTCATTTTGCTGCTCAGTATCAGAGATCCACAGGGTGAGGTCATTGGAGGGAAACACTGTAGATGGCTGAATGGTCAGATAAGTTACAGTCAGGCTACAGTGTATGAAACTTCAATCACTCGTGTGTGTTATCTGTCGTTAATTATGATAAAACACCTCGCAGCGTTGAAGTAACACCCCTCTTTGTGTGGCTAACGCCTGCCCCTGTGTTACAGCTACACTTCAGCTCGCGAATTAAACTAACCTACTTATCGTTACCGAGCTGAATGAAACACCGAGCGTGGATTAAAATGAATTAACGGAAGCTAGCTGTGGCTACTGTGTCACGTTAACCCGTGAGTAGTGTGTGTATTCTGTGTAGCTTTGCTGTTCGCACACTGAGCTGGTGTTGTTGTTTGCTAGCCGCAGTTAGCTTGCAGGCTAACAGCGTCAGGCTGCAATGTTTCATTGTTTGGGAGGGAAGCATCAGCAAACATGCTAAAGCTAACGTTAGCTCGGTTAGGAAGCACTATGGTTAATTTTTGGAGACTGAATAGTGGCTAGTGCTGAGGTGTTTTACTGAGGACTCATGGGCTGTAAACAAGCTTGGAGTTACTGTCAACTAGCCTCACTGTTGTGCCGTTTGCTTCACTGCATGTTAACCGGACATAAGTGCAGCTAGCAGGGAACAGAAGCAAAAATATTGACCTAACTTGCACCTGTTACTAGGAAACTAAACACAACAATTTGTTTCCTACTGGGAGTGAGGGACATGGTCACGTGACTGCACCATAACAGGTGCACAGTGCAGGCACTACTTGTCTAGACTGGTGTCTGCTGCCACAGTTAAGTGACAGTAGCCACTGTGTAAGTAATGTATTGTAATTAAATCTCTGGAATTGATCCTCCCTTCCTGTCCCCCCTCTTTCAGATGTAAACTGGAGCAGCATCTGTCCCAGCAGTGGCTGTTGGCACAATGGGGCTGGACTTTGACGTGAAGACGTTCTGCCACAACCTGCGGGCCACCAAGCCCCCTTACGAGTGCCCTGTGGAGAGTTGCAGGAAGGTCTACAAGAGCTACAGCGGCATTGAGTATCACCTTTACCACTATGACCACGACAACCCAACTCCTGCACAGGCTGTGCCACAGAAGAAGAGAAAGGGACGACCTCCTCGTGCCTCATTGGCAGGGTCAGGGGATACGGACGATGGTGGAGGTAACGGAGGTGGAGGGCAGGGACATGGGGGGAACACACCTGGTAGCCCGAACCGCTCGGATCACTCTCACTCCCCGGGCAGAGAGACAATGACCTATGCTCAGGCACAGCGCATGGTGGAGCTGGAGATTCAAGGACGCATCCACCGCATTAGCATTTTTGAGAACATTGATGTGGTGTCAGAGGAAGACAGTGATGCAGAGGATGCTCCACCATCTGGTACTGGTGGCAGTGGCGGAGGGGTGTGTAACGGTAGTGATGGCGGAGCTGGAGGCAGCGAGGTGGGAGGTAGTGGCAAGGACCGGCCAGATATCCCATCTTCTAATGGGGGCAAATCCACCCCAAAGTCTGGGAAGCATAAGAGCAAAGAAAAGAAGAAGGACGGCTCATCTCATCATCACAGCACTCAGTCTGGGCCTGCAGTCAAGCTCCCTGAGGCGGTGTTCAGGGAACTGGACCAAGAGAGACCTGATGCCCCTCCTCGGCCATCTTCTTACTATAGGTAATAACCTGGTTATTAAAAAACATAGCAGGCATAAGAATGAGAAGCAGGATTGTTGTCAAATACATGGCAGGCATTTTTAAAGACAATTTACAATGGGGTGCATGCATAGAAGAGTGAGAATATTTATTCACAGGAAATAGATTTGGTGAGTGATTAATAAGTGAAACACCCATTCACACAGTCACCAGTTTGTGTCATCTATCAGGAAATTCTTTGACCTCAGATTCCACGAAAACGTTCTGTCATTATTTCCTCTTTCTGCAGAAAGTTGCAGGTGCTGCCGAACCTAAACTCCCAAATCATTACACTTCTTCTCTACCTATGTATTATTATGTAATAATATCATCTGTCCAACTTTGGTGTGCAGGTATATCGATAAATCTGTAGAGGAGCTGGATGAGGAAGTAGAGTACGACATTGATGAGGAAGACTACATTTGGCTTGACATCATGAACGACAAGCGGCGGCGCGACGGTGTGACGCCCATCCCTCAGGAGGTCTTTGAGTACCTCATGGACCGCTTAGAGAAGGAGTCGTACTTTGAGAGCCACAACAAGGTAGCTGAACTTGGAAGCTGACGGAAAATAATCTTTGAACACTAACACATAAATAGAACGTGTCCAACTCAGATCTCTCCTTATCCTCTTTTCCTCCAGGCTGACCCCAGCACCCTAATCGATGAAGACGCTGTCTGCTGCATCTGCAACGATGGAGAGTGTCAGAACAGCAATGTGATCCTGTTCTGCGACATGTGTAACCTGGCAGTGCACCAAGAGTGCTATGGTGTGCCCTACATCCCAGAGGGCCAGTGGTTGTGTCGCCGCTGCCTGCAGTCGCCAAGTAGAGCTGTGGACTGTGCTCTCTGTCCCAACAAGGGCGGCGCTTTCAAACAGACGGATGATGCACGGTGGGCGCACGTGGTGTGTGCCCTTTGGATCCCAGAGGTAAATCCACACACCACTACATGCACTGTTAATCAGTCAGAGGCAGGCGTGTCACCAAGGAAACTAAGTGATGTACTGCTGTGGACAGAGGCAGCAAAAAATAAATAAGAGTGTAAGTGTATTGAGAATCTTTTCACCACTTTACCATGCCGCAGGCTGCCCTTTCAGTGGAAGGAAGCTGCTATGGCCTCATTCTGCTGCTCTGCTGCCTCGATCAGTTAGTTTGTGTTATTGTGTAACTTTGGTGAATTTTATATAACACTTTTAAACACCAAAGTCACAAAATAATAAACAAAATAACTGATGGAGGCAGCGGTAGAGCTGCAGCTCTTGTGTTGAGCAAGCTAAAATTACTGTTCCTCCCAGTGGAAGAAAGCAATATGAAGGCTTCAGTTCCCCGCCAAAAACTGATATTGATTTTTCTAGGTGGCTTAAATATGTTTTGCTGCTGCCTCGATCCACAGCAGTATATTTCTCAGCGTCCATGGCGGTACCTTGTAACTGCTTCTCCACACTAGGAGCATGCTGACTGACATCTGCTGTATGTAATACAGACTGTGGATATGAACCTCATACAACCCCACTTCAAAAAATCTGAACTATCCCTTTAATGCACAGTTAAGCATGGCTTCTTTAGTCTTGTTTTTACCATAACCGTTTTGTGTTTATTTTGCTGCCTCTCCTCAGGTCTGCTTCGCTAACACAGTCTTTCTGGAGCCCATCGACAGTATTGAACACATTCCTCCCGCGCGCTGGAAGCTCACCTGCTACATCTGCAAGCAGCGAGGTTCAGGAGCCTGCATCCAGTGTCACAAAGCCAACTGTTACACAGCCTTCCACGTCACCTGCGCCCAGCAGGCGGGCCTCTACATGAAAATGGAGCCTGTCAGAGAGACCGGGGCCAACGGCACCTCTTTCAGCGTCCGCAAGACGGCGTACTGCGACATCCACACACCCCCGGGATCTGCTCGACCTTTGGGGGGAGTGGGTGGCGCCAGCATGGGTTCGTCTCACAGCGAAGGAGAGCTGGAGGAGGACGACGAGCCCAGCATTGGCCACGATGACGACTCCAAGGGGTGGAGCTCTGAGCGAGCCAAGAGGGCGAAGGCCAAGTCCAGGCTGAAGATGAAAAGAGCGAGGAAGATCTTAGCTGAGAGGAGAGCTGCTGCGCCTGTAGTGTCTGTGCCCTGCATACCTCCCCATAGGTACGTGCACACTACATGTTTTACCTGTACTGTATGTGCTCCAATATGCATGTAAAACAGTTGACGTTTTTAAGGTAGAGTTAAATG